AATATGAATAACTTTATTATTATTATATTGTATTTTGTACTTTGAATTGAAATACGAGAATAAAACTTAGTTATATTGAAGACTTATGTAAATAACCTTTTTTTAAAACCTTATTAACATTTTTCATAAGTTGTTTTCATAAGTTCTCTCAAATAAATAGTATCACAAAACTTATGCTAATAGGTGAACTTGAATGTGTTAATGAAAACAAACATTTAGTCTCATTGTTCTTTTAATTTGTTGGTCTATTTAACATTTGTTGAAATTCTTATTTACAAAAGTTCAAATGAAGTAAGCTTTTAAATAGGCTAGTAGGCCAGTAAGACCTTCGAAAAGGTCCGACTTGGCCTAAAAATAAGCCTATGAAGTGAATATTTTAGAAGTCCAAGCTAAAACTTGACAAAGCCTAGTTCGGTCCAGCCTATTTCCACCCTACGTCCTGGTTGCACATTTGTTGGAACGAGCACCCATTATTTGGATATGGAGCCCATTTTCCATATCACTAGCCTTTTGTGAAAACATGGATGTGACGTGTCCCTATCCATAACAATATGGGAATATAGAGTAAAAAGGAGGAATTCATGCTCTCCCAAGAAACAGGGAAAATAACTATCCTCTTTCCATGCTCTTGAGAGTGGGTACTACTTTCTTGGATCTTAGGACCCAGGCCCAAGGGATTCTTATACTACAACCCTGAGATTGAGAAGGACATCCAATTCAACCCGTAAACACCAATATACATAGCTTCTTACCACCATATGTGAGCTTTCTCTAACTCCATAATAACCCTAAAAACCTATGACATTCCTACATTACAAAGGGTTATCTAGTATTGTGCTTTTACCCAGTACATTATACTATATAACTAACTAAAATTATGTAAATTGATATATGAAAATAGCTGCCCAAACACCTCATATTTATATACTTTACCAAAATGTCCTCAATTGCTGAGCGAGCTATAATTCGCCCAGCTAAATTTCCTTTAGGTTATTTAGTGTGAAAGTTTTTATAATTTGCATTTGTGAGTTTCCATGAATTCATTGAGCAAGTTGAATAACCGTCCTTCAAATTTGCCATGTTTTCTAACCCTTTCACTCTACCTCAAATTCTATGTTCAAACTTTCATTTGCTCACTGAAGCGCTTTTTTTTCAACCATTCATTATGCCTTAGATTTGATGATCAAGCTTAAATTTGCCTAACAATTTGGTCTGACTTGACTTCTAGATCTTTAGGTCAGATACTTTGTCTAGTTAGGCAGTTGATCCTTTTTGCACTTTTTATTAGCTTTCAATCTAAAATGACCATAATGATATAAAACTTGATCAATGCATATTTATCAGGACGATTTTTAATTAAGCATAAATAAGAGTTTTGAGTTACTTCATGTACAAGTAAGCTAACAAGTATGTGAATATAATATTGATAAACATGTAAATTACAAGATTATCAACTCTTTCAAACCTACCATTTCCCCCTTAAACAAAAGAAAGAAAACCATTCAAACACGG